TCAAGTTACCTGCAGAAAATTATAAAGTAAACCAGAAAAAGAAAAGAAAGAATATTAGCTTAGAAATAGATAGTATAGTATTTTTATGAAAGAAAGATATTTTAGATAGCCAAATAGAATTAGGATTAGATAGATTAGAATTAGAAAATAGCATAGCAGAAGGGTATTCAGGTAAACTTGACTTAACAAAACTAAATCAAGACCTCTTCAAGGTCTATGAGACTTTTGAGACAACTTGGTAAAAGCCTTCTAGGTTAGAAACTATAAAACTCTATCTAGTGTAGCAGACTGCTTTTGGGTATTCACAAAGACAGCCAAGGGATGTCAGGCCTAAATATTAAGCTTAATATTATATAACTAGTTTTATATAATAATCTTAATAAAAGATCACTAGCAAGGTTGCCAAAGAGTAAAAAAAAAAATAAAAAATAAAAAAAATATACAATATTAAAATAATAAACTAATAAAATAATAAACTGTTCTATAATATTTCTATTCTCTTATAAAAATTTGCTCTGCAAATTCTTAATTAAAGACTAATACTCTTTATCAGTAAACTTAACAATATGAGTTACAGTAAAGTATCAGGTCTGATATAACAATTCTTTTGGTTAAATGCTAAAGATTTGTTAAAGTTGAGTAACTCTTTTTCAAATGTTTGAGTCTTTCGAGAGCTTTGAGAAACTTGAAGAAGTTTATAAATCTGTTGTTATTCGTTAGGTTGTTTTTAAATAAGAATTTTTAAATACAGATAAGCTTCAAGAACTTTTATCTGTTTGGGTCAAGTTTGGTCTTTATCTTCTAATTGTTGAAGAATTTTAGTCAATTGGTTTTTCTAAGTTCTACCAATAAAAGAATTAGGATGGTTATACAATAGAGGAGTTAATAGTTGGATAAGTTTATTTCGAATTTGTTAAAAATTTTTGTTTCTGGTTCTATTTCAAGAAGAGAATTGTCTGGAGTAGGGTTCACTTCTAGTTCTGTATCAGGTAAGAATCATTTAAAGTAGAGTTGATTTCTGGGTCTTCAGTTAAAATATTATCCAAGAAGGTATCTATATCGATAAGGTTAGTTAGAATATCTACTGCAGTATTTACTAGAGAAGTAATATTATTAGTATCGTTAGGTTGTTAGGGTTCTACAGAAAGACATTAGAAAAACAAATTTCTAAATTATTTTGGGTAGCAGGGTTCTGTCTCCAAATAGTAAGAAAGTATTAGAGAGCTTGAATAGTTACAGGTTGCAGGATATTGTTGTGCATAGCTATTTGTATATTAGATATAAATTAGAGAATTTTCAAATAAAGTATTTATTTATAATTTTTAAAGTTATATAATTGTATATTTTGCAAAATTTTGTCTTTGTCTTTCCTTGTCTAATAAAATTTCTTCCAGTAATTAAGAATTTTTAATCACAATAATTGGTTTTCATATCTGTTTTTCGTAGTATTTTGCTAGTCGATCACTATTATAATACTTCTGTAGTATTTTTCTATCTAGTATCTGTAGTCTATATGCACCATTATTTAATTTTGCTTGAATAATATAAGGTCTTTCTTTTTTATCTTCGAATTTAGCTGATCTTGAATTCTCTAAAGCCTTAATTTGTATCCAAACTTTGTTACTAATTTCAAATTGTTTCTCTTGAGATTTTTTGGTATTAGTTCAAGCTTCTTCTTGTGTTTGAGATAAATTTTCTATTAAATCGTAGGCTTGTTGTAATATACTATCTTGTAGGTCTATTTCTGCATCTGGGTCTGGTAGTAGTTCAGTAAAAATAGTAAAAATGTAGTCTTAATAGATAGAATAGCTTGTCTTACGTAGACTAACTAGAAAGATATATAACCAGTGGTAGCATATCTCTTGGTTCAATATGCTAAAAGAACAGCAAGTATATAGATATCCCAATCTTCATCTATTTCTTTTACTTTGATAAATGATTCGCAAAGTGTTCTATTTAATTATTCAACTATTCCATTGGTTTGGAAGTGGTATAGCAAAGAGAATTTGTACTTGATAAGAAACTTTTTACATAATATTCAGACAGTTATGCTAATAAAGTTTCTTCTTTGGTCAGATAGAATTATTTTAGAAGTTCTATGTCTATAGATAATTTCTTCAAAGATAAACTTTGCTAAGGTTTCAGCTCCAGCATCTAGTACAGTACGAGTTTCTGACCATTAAGTTAAATAGTCTGTTGTTATGATAATATAGCAATTGTTCTGATCTGTGATTAGTAAAGGTCTAACTAGATTGATTCCAATTTATTCAAAGGCTCATCCAATCTGAATCAGGTATAAAGATTCTTTTCTTCTTCTTTTTTGTTTTTTTTGGCAATTTTCATATATCTGTACATATTCTTTAATATCTCAATACATTTGGTCTCAATAGTATGTTCAGATATTTTATAATACATTGCATTTATTTTTAAATATCTAGCAGTAGAGTGTTTATGCATTATATAGAGAACTGGTTCTACTTTTGTTCATTTAATAACTTATAGAGGTCTATATAGATCTTTTCTATTCTTTTTGTAAAGTAAATAGTGTCTAATCTCAAAGTATCAGACTTGGTTAATTAATTGTTTTGTCTAATTCTCAGTAAATTCTTCAGGTATTGTGTCTGCATATAAGTACTGATACAACTAATAGTATCAATTTAAGTTCATGAAGACTTGGGTTCTTTAGTCTAAGTCTGTAGTCATGAGAAAGTATTGATATTAGAATATATTTATCCTGATTTATAAATAATCTCAAAGTTATAGGGCTATAACTTGAGTATTCAGTAGCCTAATTTTCTTTTAGGTTTAGCAGTATATAACTATTTGAGAGCATAGTAGTCAGTATTTAAAATAAACTTGGTAGCTCTAAAATATTTATAAAAATGTTCAATAGCCTATACTATGGCAATACATTCTAATTCAGTAGCACTATAGTTTATTTTTTCTTTCTTTAAACTTTTACTAGTATAAGCTACAGGATGTTCTTTATTATGAGTATCAAATTGACTAAGAGTAGCACCAAATCCAAAATATGAAGTATCAGTTGCTAAGATAAATATCTTCTTGAAGTCTGGATAGCTAAGGATAGAAGCACTAATAAGTTTTTGCTTTAGCTTGATAAAGGAGTCTTGTTAAGCTTTAGTCTATTTATAAGGTTTATCTTTTTGGAGGAGTTGATTTAAAGGCTTTGCAATTGCAAATAAATTGGCAATAGTATCTTACTAGTCTTAGGAAAGATTGTAACTGAATTATATTAAACAGCTTTGATTTTCTAAGGATCTGGGGCAATTCTCTTAGGTGAGATTATATATTCTAAAAATAGTAATCTTTGTATCCAAAAATTATATTTTTTAATATTTAATCAGAGTCTAGCTTGTCTGATTCTAGAGAAAACTTCTTGTAAATACGTTAAATGATTATCAATAGTTTTAGAGAATACAATAGTATTATCTAAATATACTACTACAAATCTCTATGTTATATTGTCATAAACTTTGTCCATTAGATATTAAAAGGTTGCAGGGGTATTATAAAGTCCAAAGAGCATGACATTGAACTTGTATATTCCATAGTGAATAACAAATGCAGTCTTTTTTCAGTCTCTAGGATGTATAGCTACTTACCAATATCTACTAGCAAGATCTAGTGTAGAGAACCAATATGATCTGATGAGAGTATTTAATATCTCATTAATTCGAGGTAATGGATAAGCATCTTTCTTGGTTATGCTATTTAGCTTTCTGTAGTTTATACAGAAGTGTAATTTTTTATTTTTTTTTCATACTAATACAATAGGAGAAGTCTATAGGCTATTGGATAGTTGTATTAGTTTGTTGTCCAGTATTTGTTAGATTTTTTTCTTGTGTTTACTTGGAGATATTGAATAAGGTTAAGAATTTATAGAAGGCACATCTTTGATATAAATTCTATAAGTAATTAGATTAGTTTGTCCTAGTTCATTAATATTTAATGCAAATAGATTTGCAAATTCTTCTAGTAATTGTTTGAATTTTTTGTCTTTATCTTTTGAGAGAGGTCCAATATTTAATGATATTTCTTTTAGAATTGTATACTCTTTATAAGAAATAAGAGTATTAATAGTATATACAGATATAGGAATAAGAGTAGAGTTATAAATGTCTGGGTCCACAAGTATTTTTCATCTTGTTTGGGATTATTTAAAAATATTGTAACTCTGTAAGAGCAGCATATTAAGCAGTACACTGGTAAGCATACTGGTTATCTTCTCTCCATATCTGTATAAGTTGTTGGTTAAAGGTTTCAAGAGCTTCAACCTTTTGTTGTAGCTGTATGATAAGCTGGCTTTGGTGAGCTACTTGTTGTTAGAGCTATAGCATTACAGATAAAGAAATATTTGATTCTGGAAGAGTAATTGAAGAACTAGAATTTGTTTCTACTATAGAAGTATCAGGTCTGGTTTCTGGCAGTAGGTTATCAGTTTCATTAGGTATACACAGGTCGAATAAAGCTATACCAGATATCTATCAGTATGCTGATATATTTTCTAAAGTTACCGATACATATATGACAACTATCTTCTAAATTAATCTGAAATATTACTGATAAGTAACTGATTTGAAACAGATTTTTGGCACAAATCTGAGACTTTTTAGTAATTATTAGGTACCTTTTATTATAATATTCATAGTTTATCAGTAGTTCTGATAATTTCTTAGATAAACCTGATAGGTATCTTGTAGTTTTATTAAGCATAAAGATACCAGATACTTATCAATTTTTTTTTAAAAACTTATTAGTATATCCAATAGAGCTATTTACTAATTTATATTTATCAATTTATAATTCGATAAGTTTTATTTATAATAGAAAAGTATAACTCACATATAACATATTATTAAAAGCAATATCTCAATTATAATTCACATATACTACATATTATACAATTGCTAATACTAATACAAATAATATAATTTTTTTTTTACAAAAATATACTATATTAACTATACATAGTATGATGTCTAAAGCTATAAAATAAAAAAAATAATACGTTGCTGTTTTGGTAGAATTTCTATTTACTGAAAATATCATTTACATCACCGGAATTGTCATATTCTTCATTATTATTGTTGATTTCATTCTGAGATTCATTGTAATTGTCATACAATTTGTCATAATTTCTATTGGTGTCATCTTCAGTACTTCTTCTAGTGCTTCTTGCACCTCCATTATTGCTACTACTACCACTACCACTTGGAACTACTTCTTCTTCGTCATTGTCATTTTCCAGAATATAAGAAGCAGAAATAGACCACTCAGAAGCATCATTTGAAGGTTTTAATTTATCAACCCAACTGTTATCATTGTATTATCGCTTCTTTGACAATTTAATGTAGAATATTTTTTCTTCTATTTCATCAGCCAACCACAAAATTTTTTTAATTTATAGTTAAAATAGAATGAAAAATAAATAAATAAATTTAAAATAAAATAATAAAAGGTTTACTTACTCTATAAGATCTCTAGGGCTTATCGTAAACATGGAGAACATGGTTATCAATATTTTTATTTGGACGTATTTTTTGTCATTTTTCTGCTTTCGTAAATTCAACATCTATTTCTAAAATTTCATCAGAATGGTAGCTTTCATCGTTAATAATATCTTCAAGATCTTCTTTAAAATTGTCAAAATCTATCAACAGCGCAAGGTTTTTAAGATTTCTATCTTTAATATTAATCATATGACCAATACTATGAATTCGCTTTTTCTTTTTCTACAAATCATAAATTTTTTTTTTTTTTAAAAAAAAAAAACTGTTCATTTATTAAAACAAAAAAAAAAAAAAAAAAAAATCTATTCATTTATAATAAATATCAGCAACCTGGTAGTTTTATAAAAATGATTCACACTTACATCAGAATATTGAGCATTTACTTTCTTTTTTTTTCTATTGACTTTTGATTTATCCTCATCTTGATTTATAGATTATTTCTTATGTTGGTAGTGGTGAAGGCTTTGGAGAACTTACTTAAGTTCACTAATTTTATATCTAAAACAACTCTCCAAAGCCTTACCGATCACTAGCATGGTTCGTTTAGATATTTTTTTATAAATTTCTATCTATTTTTTTGACAGATCAAGCTGCAAAGAATTATCAAGGCCATCTCATTCTAATTAAATAAAGATAATTAATAACTACAATACTATTAATTATTATAATATCATTGACATACATGAAAAAGCTTATATTGATCAGAATTCATATCTTTTAAGAGCTCATGTAGTCTTCTCTTGTAACTTTAGCGAGGTAGAGTTTCAGAGCGATGATAGTTTTGATGAAGTAGAGTTTCAGAATAATGATAACTATGGCTTTCATATTGGTTTCAATTAGAAATAAACTGGCAGCCTTGCTGATAAAGTACTGTTAATTGTAGTGGTATATTTCTTTGAGGTGATATAGACGGAGAAATTGAATATTGACTTGAATAATATTAATTCAGTATGAAGTTTTACTTTGTATTTTCCAAAATTGGATCAAAAAAAAATTTATATAGATGGGATTATCAGATATTCTGTTACTTTAATTTGAAAAAAAGGAAAGAGACAAAAAAAACGATTTCTTTTATATAAATTATATCTTATTTATTAAGTAAGCTTTAATAGTATATAATATATAATAACAAATATAGTAATGATATTTATGAGCAAAGCGAAAAGTCAAATAAATATCACTAAAAGAAGAATGATGCGAAAAAGTCAAACTTGATAACATATATTAAAAAAAATACATGATCTATTTATACTTTTTATAGCCAGGTCTTATTTCCGAAAGACAATGTGATTACACTTATGATTGCATTAGATGATTTTAAAGCACTGTTAATTTAATATCAGGCTTAAAATTTACAATCAGTTATAATATATATTATTATATAATCTATATATTGTAAAATTAAACTTTATACTATGAAATTATTAAATAACTTTATTGAACATGATTGAAGAATTACTGAAATATAGATAACTTTTTGCTAATTTGAATCACTTAAAAATTAAATCAAAAAGTTTAATTTCTCGATACACAAAGTAAAAAAAATTATATAGGCTAATTTATTGATTTTGTTGTATAAAAAATATATAGAAAAATCAAAAGATCTATTAATCAATCTTATATTATGTGGATTATAATTGAAAGGTATATCGGGATATTAATAACTGTCGTGGCTGAAGCTGGAAATGGCTAAAGCTGGAAATTTTAAATATTTTAATATGAAATTTACAAAAAAATTTGGAATGCATTTTGTACAATTTTTTTTTATAGTTAGATTAGAATTTAGAGTTAGGGTTTATAATAAAAGAGTATAGTTAGATTTTAGCAGGGCTTATAGTTTTAAATCGAGACCTCTAATTTCCAGCTTCAGCCATTTCCAGCTTCAGCCGCGACAATAACTTTTATAATTAATTCAAATCACTAAAAAATATCAAAACAAAAAACATATATACATAGCAAAATAAAGATAATTGATATGATTGATATGTTAAGAAAGTATAACGAAAGATCTATCAGTAAGTTGACACATGTTTTTAAAATCTGATCAAATAAAAGATTTATTTGTCAAAACAGAGTATAATTGTATTGATATGTTAAAAAATACAATGAAGGATCTATTAGTGTATTAACACATCTATATACATGTTTTTTTTAAAACCCAATCATAAAAACAAAAAGTATAATTTTCAAAACATAGTATAATTGTATTGATATATTAAGAAATATAACGAAAGTGGTTGACACCTTTTTTTAATCTAATCATAAAAACAAAGAATCTATTAGACCTATCAGTATTTCAAAAAGAAGTATCGATTTTTTTTATTTAAAGCTTTATTTTTTCTTTCCTCTACATCTCTCTTACAACATTTTCATCCAATTCTAAACTCTATTGCTCATATACTTCGATCTTATATCTTTTGTCTTTCTCTTGTTCATATATCTACTTATATATTTCTGATCACATATTCTCTATCATTCGTTTATATCACTTATTATTTTATAGATTATAAAAAAAAAATTTCAATTGTTAAAAAAACAATTGAAAAATCTGACAGTTCTAATGTTAAGCATTTAAAAAATCATTACTCTGAACCTTGCTATTGCAATAGTTATAAAGTTATTCTGGTTGATCCAAGAATAAGGAAAGCTCATATGACTAAAAAGGTCGTTATAACAAGAAATTTCGTTGAAGTTGATAGACTTTCAACAAGCACAACTGCAGAAATGAACTTTACGGAAATAGAATTGTTAGAAATAGAAATTTCAGAAATAGAAATTCTAGAAATGGAAATTTCAGAAATAGAAATTCTAAAAGAACTGATATAAACTAATACCGGCAGTACTGATAATGGTTTAGTAGTTTCTTATAAAGCTAATTATAATTTCATTATTACAAATCATTCCAAAAAAGGCAAGAAATCAGCTTATATTGGAGAAAAGAGAGCCCAAATATCTATACAATTAGTCAAAAGCATGTTTTCAGAAGATGAAAGTAATATAAGTGATTGTGTAGATGATCTATTTGAAGATCAAGATGAAAATTTAGCAGATAAAATTAATTTTAATATACTGGATAATACAAATAAAGATGTCGATATATCTAATAAGCCTATAGATATCTTGATAGATTTCATGTGAATTTTAGTATAGGTTCTCAAATTCTAAGAGCAGTTTCGATTGTCTAATATAGCAACCAATACTTTATTAAAATTCTTTCGGTATCTCTTAATTCATCAAGATGCGAATATATATTCTACTTTTCCTACTAGTTTAGATTTGGCACGTCAAGTTCTTGAGGTCAGTGCTTATATGGTCAAGTATACAATATGTGAAAAATATTATAAGCTATACAGTATTGTCGATATATCAACTGAAAAACCAAATACAGCATCTAAATTTAGCTATTGCACTTTTTAAAATTTTCTGAATCATCTAATGGCAAATCAAAGATACTTGTATAACTCACCTATTGCCAAAAAATATATATTTCAAAAAGTATTATTTTCAGACCGGCACTTATTTTCTTTACTATTTCTTTGACAAATCAAATTAAGTTGTTGTATAATAAGAGAGAGTTTGAGGAATCTTGCAGAAAGTGGGTCGGAAGGCCTATCGATCC